CAAAAACAAACAAAAGTCTGACAACATGAAATTCTGGAAGAATGTAGAGCAACCAGTATTTTCATACATTACTGGTGGAATGTAAAATGATAACAACCACTAATTTATATACTGGTGAACGAAAAAAGTCAAAAGCAAGGCACATCACACTTAAATTTGAGAATCCAGAAAAAAATAAAAGAAAAAAACCCAAGAGTTGCAGAGAAAAGAAAGGTTATACACAAAATCAGAATGGCTTTTTTTGTTTTGATTTGGAGTCTCACTTGGTCCCCCAGACTGGAGGGCAGTGGCCGCTCCCGGCCACCGCAGCCTCGCCTGCTGGGCTCCAGCGATCCTTCCGCCTCAGCCTTCCGAGTAGCTGGAATTACAGGCATGCGCTACCACGCCCAGCTGATTTTTTGATTTATCATAGAGATGAGGTCTCGCTGCCCAGGCGGGTCTCGAACCCGCGCAGAATGGCATTCTTAACAGGAACACTGGAAGCTAGAAAATTATAGAGAAATACTTTCAAAATTCTGAGGGAAAATGATTTTTAACCTAAAGTTTTATATCCAGCCGAGCTATTGGTCAGATATAATAATGGAATAAAGAAGTTTCTCATGTGAGAATCTGAAAATTTTTACTTTCATATATCCTTTCTCAGGAAATTGCTGAAGAAAAAAATTCACAAAAGGAAGGAGCCAAGAAAAAGAAAGATCTGGTGTCCAAGAAACAGGAGATCATACACAAGAAAGAAGGAAAGAGAATGCCTGGAATGAAAGGAGTCCCAAGATGAAAGAAAAAAATTGGCACAAAAACAAATATCCAACTGGAAAGGATAAAGGCTCCAGAGTGTGTCTCCATGGTTTAAAAAAAGGAGAAGGAGGAAAGGAGGAGAAAGAGGAGAAGGGAAACAATTAACAGGCAATTTTCACTTCTGCCAGTTACATAATAAATAAGGGAACAGTACATACAGTAGAACTATATACAGCCACAAAAAACTCCAAGGAAAACCAAAACTTTTAGAACAAAAGATAATGTAACAACATTACACTAAAAAGTTGCAGCCCAAATCACATAAAAGGGACCAAATAATGTAAAGCCTTCAGCACAGCACAGCCATGTCTCTGGAAGCCTGCATGCCCAACCTAATGTAGATGTTCTTCATGCATATGGGTGCACTGGAGATAACACTGGAGGAGCTATAGGCCCTGGGGGACACCCTCCCATGAGTATCCACGGGTGGCATATGTGACTCAGTGGGAAGATGATGCTTTTAGGGTAGCCTTGCCGTAGGCCATCACCAGGTTCCCTGCTCTTCTCACCATGCAATTCTGGAGTACCCAAGTCTGCAGAAGCTGATTCCTAAGCAGCAGGAACCAGTCTGTAAACTGAGAGGCTAATTAATTGCATATGACTGTGCATGTGCTGAGCAGGGCTAGCTTCGTGGGAATGCAACCTGTGTAGCCAGTCACACAGGGCCTAGTGCTTGTTTTCTGGAGATTGGGGATTTCAAGATTTGGCAGGTTTTGGTGTCTGGGAAAGACCCATCTCTCCTTCCAAGGTGATGCTTTGAATGCTGCATCCTCTGGAGGGGAGTAATGCTGCTCCTCACATGGTAGAAAACAGCAGAAGAGTGCAATCTTACTCCAACAAGCCCATTTTATGGTGGCATTCTATTCATGAAGGGGAGTCCTCATGACCTAACCATCTCCCATTAGGCCTCACGTCCCAACACTGTTGTATTAGGGATTAAATTTCAACATGAGTTTTGGAGGGGGCAAAAAATATTCAAACTATAGCAGCCATTGTTCAGAAATCCTTGTAAAGCCTTATATCAGACCACCTACTCCTATAAAGTGGATGACTAGGTATAGTGGTACAGACTTTTACTGATGCTTTTCAAAGATGCTTTTCTTTTAAGTCAAAGACACACTTGAAATGAAGATTAAGACAGATGAAAATCATTGCTTATTTTTTAATTACATAAAGGCCAGTTTTAGCATTCAATATTTCTACTGATGTTCTTTTTGTGTTCTCTCAAGGGACCCCCCCCACCCCAAGAGCAATATACTCTTTAGCAGCACTTGAGGAAATAAGAGAGAAGTTCTTAAAGTTTTTTTTATCACTCTTACTATTCCTTCTACCATAAGCCCATTTTAGAACATCCTAACATTGGTCATAATACCCTATTTCTAATCCCATGCTTCTCCCTTGACAGAAGGAAGTCGTGGGGATTTGTGACATCTTCATTAATCACTAAAGATGGCTGCCCTTTTCATGTTCCAATTTGTGTGTGGATATGTACCACACGCAAATGTACCACACATATGTACTACACATATATGCATACAAATTTGTACACAAACAACCAAAAACTGAAAACAATCCAAAAGTCCATCAACTGATGAATGGATAAAAATGTGGCATATTCATATAATGGAATATTATGTGGCCATTGAAATAAATTAAGTACTGATACATGCTACAACATGGATGAACTTTGAAAATAGTATGCTAAGGAAAAGAAGCCAGCCACAAATAGGCACATACTTTGATTCCATTTATATGCAAGGGCCATAATAGGTAAATACATAGACAGAAAATAGATGAGTGGTTGCTACAGATTGGTGGGTGAGGGAAAATGGGGCTAATGGGTATTGGGTTTATTTTTGGATGTTAAAAATATTCTGAAATTACATGGTGGTAATAGTTGCACAACTCTATAAATATACTAAAAGCTACTGAATTGCATACTTTTAAAGGATATGTAAATTATATCTCAATAAAGTTATTTTCAGATTCCATTTAGATTATGATTTAAATTTACAAACCAAAGACAAATTGGCATCTTTACATCACTTCTTTCCAATTATGTCTCTTCATTTATTATAATATTCTATGTTCTTTAGAAAAAGGTTTCTCCTATAATCATATTTTTTTTTATTCCTGGCATTTTTAGATTGCTTGTCAATATTGTAAATGTCATTTTATCCACATTTTCTATTTCTTCTACTTAATAAAGTTTAAAAATTTTGTACATTGCTATACATGTCACCTTAGTAGTTCAACTAGTTGACTTTTCTAATTACCAAACATATTTCAAATAATGAGATTTTCTCTTCTTTTAAATTATTACAGCCAGCTGCACTGAGCACTGGGGAAATAAAGTATTACTAACTTATTTTTTCTCTAATTGAATTGTATGGGAACTTGAGAATAATATTGACTAATGGTGGTGACATCACATATCATTTGTCTAATTTTTTCTCTGGTAAGAATGCTTCTAGTTATTCATGGTGTTTACTGTGGGTTTCTGGTAAATATGCTGTGATGGTTAATTTTATGTCAACTTGACTGAGCCCAGTCAAATAACTGGTACCCAAATAAATATTATTTCTAGGTGTGAATAACTGGTATTTCTAGGTGTGAATGTAGAGGTATTCCTGGATGAGGTCAATGTTTGAGTCAATAGACTGAGTAAAGCAGATTTCCCTCTCCAAAAGAGTGAACCTCATTCAATCCATCGCATGCCTGAATAGACTGAAAGGCTGAGTAGGAAATAATTCTCTCCCTGCCTTCAAGCTGGCTGATTGGTTTTCTCCTGCCTGGGGACTAACACTGACTGGAACTTATACCATCAGCTTTCCTGGCCGTCAGAACTCTCAGGCCTTCAGACTCAGATTGAAACTATAACATCAGCCTTCCTGAGTCTCCAGCTTGCTGACTGCAGATCTTAAACTTTGTATCATCCATCAATTGTGTGAACCTATTTCTTATAGTAAATAACTCAATTTATCTATCATTTATCATCTGCCTCTGGAGAATAGAAAGTAATACATGTCCTTTATCAATATAAGGAAGTTTCCTTTTATTTATAACTTGTAAAAATAAAATCACCATTGTGTGTAGAGTTGTATCAAATGATCTTACTGCATCTATTAAGATGTATTTTTTCTTTATTAATGTTGATTTCTACTTTTGAAATAGTCTAGGAGCCTTAGGATGTATCTTAGTACTGATTTTAATAAACTGCTATATTTCCTTTGTTAATCATTGACTTAGACTATTTAAATTTCTTTCCATCTGTATTAATAATCCTTTTCCTATTCTGAATTTTTTGTCTCATTTTCTCCTTATTCCTACTTGGTGGAAGTTTGTCAATTGACTTATCAAATATACTTTTAAAATCTAATATATTAACGTGTGCTTTCATCTTTATTAATGCATTATTTTTATTTTCTTTGAGTTTACATAATTATTTTTCCTATCTTTTTAAATTGAATATTTAATGTATGCTCAAGCTTTATTGTTTTCTAATAATTGCATTTTTCTGTTTGGATTTATCATTTAACCCTAAAATTAACTTAAAAATTATTTTTAATTTATAAATCCTGTTTGGGTGAAACTTTTAATTGTTGTTCATTTCTACTTTTACTGAATTGTGATAAAAAAATAATCAGAGAGGTCACAAATATTTCCCTCTGAGAATTTGTTGGGATTTTCAAAAATCCATATATATAGTCCATTTTAAATATATTCCATGAATCTTAGAAATAATGGATAGTATCTCTGGGGGAGAAAACATTCTTTGGCTATGGCTATTAATCAAATTTGTCAATTTTGTTATTCAAATCCTCTATAAAAGTGTTTCTTAAACACTGAAAAATTATGTATGAATTACTTTAAAAAGGGATTATGTATATAGTAAACAATTCTCATCATCCTACTAAAATTTTTGTGTACTTTAGGAGGATTTTATTATATGCAAATGCATTTATAATAAATTATCTCTGAAAATAATTTTCTAAATATGTCTTTAAAAAATAAGCCTCAGTTTTGGATGAATTTTTTCACTCAATACCACATTTTAAGTTAATTTTAAGTGTTTCTTCTTAGTACAAAAGTATAATATTGAGTAAATGAATGTTTTACAAGTTTTCCTCACATAATCCTATGATTTCTTGTCACAGTGAATGCTAATGGGTGATAACCTATGGCTGCAGGCTTTCTCACATTTGTTAATCTGCTAGGGTTTCATTTTTGAAATGAGTTTTCTGATGTTGAATTAAAGATGTACTATAACAGAAAACATCACCACGTTTATTACACTGATAGGATTTCTCCCCACTATGTGTTTGCCTATGTTTAGTAAGAGCTGAGCTTAAGCTGAAGGATTTCCCACATTCATGACACTGGTAGAGTTTCTCTCCTGTATGAGTCTTCTGACGCTGAATTAGTGATGTTCTATAGCAAAATAGTTTCTGACATTGATTACATTGATAGGGTTTCTCACCAGAATGAGTTTTTAGATGTTCAGTAAGGTGTGTACTTCTACTGAAGGTTTTTCTACATTCTTTACAAATGTAGGGTTTTTCTCCAGTATGCATCCTCTGGTGTTCAGCAAGATGGGCGCTCTCATTGAAGGCCTTTCCACATTCATTACACTCAAAGGGTTTCTCTCCAGTATGAATTCTCTGACGTTTAGTGAAGGTTGGATTATGACTGAAGGCTTTCGCACATTCGTTGCATTCATAGGGTTTCTCTCCTTTGTGAGTTCTCCAGTGTCGAACTAGTGATGTACTATGGCAAAAAACGTTCTTACAGTCCTTACACTGGTAGGAATTTTCCCCAGAATGAATTCCCTAATGTTTAATAGGGCGTGTACTACAGCTGAAGGTTTTCCCACATTCAGTATACTCATATAGTTTCTTTCCAGTATGAATTCTATGATGTTGAGTAAGGGCTGAAATATGGCTGAAGGCTTTCCCACATTCATTACAAGGATAGGGTTTTTCTCCCGTATAAATTATCTCGTGATTTCTAAGGGATGACTTATGACTAAAGGTTTTCCCACATTTATTACACTTAAAAGGTTTCTCCCCAGTATGGAACCTTTGATGATAAATAAGATTAGTGCTCTAACTAAAAGCTTTTCCACATTTATTACACTCATAATGTTTCTCTCCAGTATGTATTCTTTGATGTTGAATAAGATTAGTGTTCTGGCTGAAGGATTTAATACACATTTTACATTTGTAAGTTTTCTCTCTAATATGTGTTTTCTGGTGTTGAATAAGATGAATGTTCTGGCTGAGGATTTACTACATATTTTACATTTGTAAGTTTTCTTTCCAATATGTATTTTCTGATGCTGGGTAAGGGATGCAGTACAAGTGTAGCTTTCCTCACATTCAGTATACTTATGAGACTCACTCATACAAATTTTTTCAGGTTCCATCAGTACTGCATTATGGCTTTACATTTAAATTCTTTCCAGAATAAGAGAGGTTTGAAATAAAAATGCATCCTTTCTTATATATTCTGAATAAAACACATTATGTTTCATTCATGAGTTGGCTTGTAAAAAGTCAACAGAAGCAGAACTATGCATACAATTTTTACCATTTATGTCATAGTTACAGTAGTCCTTCCTTATTCATGATTTCACTTTTCATGGTTTCAGTTACCCACAGTCAACTTTGGTCTGAAAATATTGTATGGAAAATTACAGAAATAAACAATTCATAAGTTTTAAATTATGCACCATTCTGAGTAATGTCATGACATCTTTTATCATCTGCTCTGTTCTTCCCAGAATGTGAATCATCTCTCTGTCTAGTGTATCCATGTTGCATACATTACCCTCTCATTAGTCACTTAGTAAGTAGTACTAAGAATCCAATTAGGGTTCATTACTCTCTGCAGTTTGAGACCTCTACTGGGAGCCTTGGAATGTAGCCCCCATGGATAAGGCAGGACTACTGTTATGAGGTCTTTTCTAATAAAAACTCTTAGTTGTTTAAAAAGGTTTGGGCTCACATTAAATATTTCACCCAAATTATTATATTCATGATTTTCCTCTTGAATTATTTTTTCTTATAATCTGGTTATACTGATGTTTCTATAACTAGTCATCAAGTTCTGGTTCTCCTAATGCAAAGTATTAGGAAACTTCATTTGAAAACATGTCTAACATCATATGATAACATTGTTTACTTTTCAAAAATTCTCTGCTTTGGAGTTGATGCTCTGACTCTGGATATGGTATCCAGGACTAAGTAGAAGATACTATCTCTTTCTTCTGAAATATAAAAGGGGAAAATAAGACTCACTCATTACGGAAAGAAATATAATAAAAATAAAACAAAGCTATAATAAAACATAAGATTATACAATATAGGTACTGATTAACAGGGAAGTTAAAAGGAGAAAAAGTTCATTATAAACAAGTCTGGAAAACTCTATTTCTGTACTCAACAACATTTCCAACAAATTGTATAGCAAAACAAACTGTTTTCTTTTCTATAGTCATACTCAACACAGAACACTTCTGTGTTAAAACATATGGGGTTTTTTCTACCATACTGACCAAGTGTCCAACTCTCTGGATACAAACTGGAGGTCCTACAATTAATTCTAATTCTGACACCATCTACCGGTAGTTAGCATCATATCCCTTAAGTTAAAGGGCTCAGGCCCCCAAGACTGCCACTTCAGATGATAATCAAAAGCCTGGTCCTCCCATACTTCTGATCAACAGGCTATAAATTGACAGGTCCTATGATTCCCTCCTTGGGTTAGATAATTTGCTAGAATGGCTGACAGAATACAGAATAATTTGCTAGAATGACTGACAAAATACTTTAGTTGCATTTACCAGCTTATTAAGAAAGGAAAAAATTCAGAAAAAAACAAATGGAAGACATGTACAGGGCAAGGAGGACAGAGGACAGGGCATAAAATTTCCATGCTCTTTCTGGGCATGCTGCCCTCCCAGCATCTTGATGTGTTCATCAACCTGGAAACTCATCAAATCTCACTGTTCAAGAGGTTTTATAGAGTCTAATCTCCATCCCCCCATCCTTCTTCTGAAAAGTTGGTAAGTGCTGTTGAAAGTTCCAGTTCTCTAATTGCTTGGTCTTTCTAGTGATCAGACCTATTTCTGAGACTATCTAGGAGTCTCATTCTATTTCACCTCATAATCATAAACTCAAGTGTGATCAAACGGGGTGTGTTATCAACAACAAAAGACAGTCCCATCACTTAGGAAGTTCCAAGGATTTTTAAAGGTCTATTCTAGGAATTAGAAACAAAGACAAAATTTATTTCTAATTATATCACAATAGATGTGGTTAAAGAAATTAAATGATTAAAACAAAGTACATTCGAGACCCGCCTGGGCAGGCGAGACCTCATCTCTACAATAAATCAAAAAATTAGCCGGGCGTGGTAGCGCACACCTGTAATTCCGGCTACTCGGAAAGCTGAGGCGGAAGGATCGCTGGAGCCCAGCAGGTCGAGGCTGCGGTGGCCGGGAGTGGCCACTGCACTCCAGTCTGGGTGACAGAGTGAGACTCCAACTCAAAACAACAACAACAACAACAACAAACAAAGTACATAGTAAAATCAAAAGTAAAGATACAGTAAAATATATAATGTAACTAAAAGACAATGAGACTAATTCAAATATACGCTTTTGGAAATCAGAAGCAAAAAACAAAAGGAAAGTGAAATGGGATCAGATAATAAAGAGCTCTGACAAACAGAAATTCAGTGTCATATAGCAGGAAACAGGAAAACTGAAGTTTTCTTTCAGAGCAGTCACATGATAAATATTTTTTAGATGTGATTGTTTAGACAAAAATGCTTGTTAATTCCATCTAAAAAATAATAAGAGAATTACGTTCAAATTCAGCAAAAAGTACACTATAAATGATATGAGCCTAGACTAGGATAATACTAGTAAGAATCTGCTATAGGTGTAGATAAGACATAAAGAAGAAACAAATAAAAAAACAAAAAAAAACTGACATAAATTATAGGGTTTTTTTTTTTTACAAAAGAAGATTCATAAAGATAGATGAATCTACTTCCATTTAAGAAGGAGAATTTAGAAATATCTTCTAAATAATTTTAGTAAAAAGAATAGAAGACAATAATCTAACTTCAAAGATTAAAACAGAATAAGAATAAGCTATGAACTATAAGTTTGAACAGTTTGGTAATAAAAGAAGAGAATAATTTTGAAAGGTAGATAAGCATTAAATTATTGTTAGGTAACATGTTCTTTTAAAAGCAAGAAAAACTGAATGTCTGAAAGTAGAAGAAAAAGAGCTGAAGAACTGGGAAAGACTGAATCATAAAATAATCATTAAATTGAGGTCCTGAAATAAGTGGAAAAGAATGGAATCAGGAGTACAGAATAGAGAGATTAACAATGGAAGTTGATCAACTTTTCCTCTGAGATAAAGAGATATATGAGAATATGAACAAAGGTATATAGAAATGAGGTTGATGTTGTTCCCACAAATGAATGCAGTCTTTTTCATACATATAAGGGGGCTCTGCACAGAGGACCCTAACCAACATTTTCAAAGCTACCTTCTAGTACCACTATTGTTACTATCATCATCATCATGGATAGAAGGACTGTTATTTACAAGAATTCCTATCTTCTGGTTGTTAGTTATCTCATTCTTTCTTGACTGACATTTTGTGGCGTTTCTTCATTTTCCCATTGTTACCTATTAATATGGTTCTTAGTTGAAAGGTGACATCTAATTTAAAAAGCTCATATTCTACTCTTGGCAAAAAATATGGGTTTGTGTGTTTATGTGAAGCCTAGAATTGTGTTCTAAGTAAACTTCAGAAATTCTGAGACATTGGAATGCTGATGCTTCCAAGGTAACAAGATAAGACAAATCGCCTGTTTACTTAGGAAAGAAATATCTTGTCTCTGTACACAGATAACATTTTAAAATCTCTGGTCCCTAGACTCAAAGCACAGTCTCAAGTGAGGAAGTGTAAATCTCATAATCCCATATATTTTGACATTTGAGGAACTGTACTCACCCAATAAGTCAAGATTCTAACAGTTTTTCAAGATCACATCCCTGTGTAGTGTCTCTGATAATGGTCTGGTTGTTTTACTAGGACATCCTCCAATGCCACTGGTTCATAAAACATCAAATAAATACCTGCTCATTAAGGGATCAGTCACATAACCATTTATAAAAGAAAATGTAAGGCTAACAATTAAAAATGACAGAGTGGAGGGCTATTAAGTTGTTCAGAAAGGACTTGGGTTCTAAGTTCAAGAGTGGTTAAAAGTTCATTAGTTGGTGTCTACTACTTACCTGTTGAAGGTATATAGAAGCAATACTGAAGTTTCCCCACAAGGACACTGAAAATTTAAAAATATATAATATATAGGTATATATACATACACACACACAAAATATAGGTAAAATACAAACCCAGCTCAAGAAATAACAGAAGATGTAGAGATATCATAAATAGGTAGTACAGGAAGGCACTTGGTTATAACCCTATTAATGGCAACAATACATATAAAGGGGAAATTGATTAATCAAGTAAAATGATTATAATAGAGCATAGAAAAATGAAGAGCTAAAGATGCAAACATCCTGTGCCTTTGGGAAGCTGAGGTGAGTGGATTGCCTGAGCCTGTGGGTTCGAGACCCGCCTGGGCAGGCGAGACCTCATCTCTACAATAAAATAAAAAAATTAGCCGGGTGTGGTAGCACGCGCCTGTAATTCTGGCTACTTGGAAGGCTGAGGTGGAAGGAACGCCGGAGCCCAGCAGGTCGAGGCTGCGGTGGCTGGGAGCGGCCCCTGCACTCCAGTCTGGACGACAGAGTGAGACTCCAACTCAAAAAAAAGATGCAAATATTAGTGGGTCCTTCCTATTTAATACATAGTCTAGGAGAAAAGGGAATGACACCAAGTACTACTTAGACCTGTTTATCCCAGTAAGCAGGTAGTGTTTAATCATGAAGCTAGAATTCGTAAGATAGCAATATATAAGAGCATTTTACATTTGCATAATACCACTAACTCCCTTTAATACAGTTCTATGCTTGCCTAGAAAAACTGGGATTACAATTTGGTTATATATATATAGGCAGAGGATTTAAAGATCTGAATGCCTTAGTAGCTCTAGAACTTGATTATGATGGTTAATTTTATCTGGCAATTTAACTGGGCAATGGAGTGCCCAGATGTCTGTTTAAACAGTATTCCAGGTATGTCTGTGAGAGTATTTTTGAATCAGTATACTGAATAAAGCAGATTTCCCTCCCCAGTGTGGGTGGACATCATCCAATCTATTGAAGGACTGAATAGAACAAAAAGGCTGAACAACAGAGAATTTGCTCCCTTTGTATGACTGATTGGAGAAGGACATCAGTCTTCTCTTTCCTTTGGACTAAAACTTAT